ATCGTTTTGTAAAGAAAAATAAAAAGTACAGACGATTTAAATGAGAAGTTAATTTTTTTATTTTCAATATTCATTATATTTTTTTAAACAGACGATTGATAAGTTAATTTAATTGTTTTATTTTCAACATTCATTATATTTTTTTAATCAGACGATTTTGTTAATATGAAGAATAGCATTTGAAAAATTTGGATAATAATTCTATAAAAAAAAAATTGATAGTTTTTTCTCTTTTTAATTGTAAAACTAAATTAAACTTTTTATTTTTCGCTTATAATTTCTTAATTTTTAATCTTTTTCTTTTTTTATGATTCTTTTTATTTTTTGTTACCTTTTACTTTTATGTTAATTTATAATTTATTAATTTATAATTAATAGAATTTAATAAAGGAATTAGAATTTATATTATGTATTTTCTTTCTATCTTATTTCTAGACTCTAATACTCAAATTAACACATTAACAATTTGGACAAACCAACGTACTAACTCAAAAACGATTTGGACAAACCAACATATAAGCTCAATAACGATTTGGACAAACCAACATACAAACTTAAAAACGATTTGGACAAACCAACGTATAAGATCAAATACTATATAGATAACTCAATAATAAAGAGTATGACTTATGCAACAAATAGAACAGAGAAAACGATAAACAACTTGGACAACAAGCTCTCAACGATAGCTTACATTATATTATGCGGAAGAAAGCCCTTTATAAGAGGGAGAATGTTATATAATAGGAAAATTCATATTTAAATTGTATTTATAAATTTAATCTTATTTTATACGATTTGAACATTCAATTCAATTTAATTTTTATTATTTCTTACTTATTTTTATTTTATATTTTTGATATAACCTTCGTATATTTAACGGAGCTATTCAAATCTCATGAGATATATTTTATTATATATACTTTAAAAATAATATATTTTTGTGTGTATATTTTTGATCTTTGTAAATACATTTAGTCTAAATAAATAAGATAATTTTTTTAACACCATGCCTGACTAACAAATTTAAATCCGCTCATATCCAGCGGTGCCATTCAAAAAAGGAAAATCGTTATTTTTCAAATTTTTTTTCTTGTCAATTTTTCTTAAATTTTCATTTATTTTTATTATTCCTTCTTATTTTATTCTAACTTTTAGCGATTTTACTTTATTTTGCTTGCTATATCTTTTCTCAATTTATTTTTCTTCTCATTTAAAAATAATTTATAAATTTTCTGTTATTTTTTTTCATCTCTCTGCTTCATTTTTTTAAACAATTCATTACTTTTTTTTTCATCATACATAACAATATTTTGACTTATTGTAATCTTTTACATACATTTCTAACCTTTTCAATCTTAAGTCATTTTTAATCATTATGTTTTTGATCTTTTTTCAATTTGTTTTTTTTCTCATTTTTGATAATTCTTTTTAGGAATTTTTTTTTTCCGATCATGGGTTACTTTATTTGAAATTGCCTGCCAAAAATTTAGCGAAAATTTAATATAATTCCTAAAAAAAATTATCAAAAATGAGAAAAAAAAACAAATTGAGAAAAGATTAAAAAAATAAAGATAAGGTTAGAAATATATGTTAAAGAAGAAAAAATCATAAAAAGTCAAAATAAGGTTATATATGATGAAAAAAAAAGAATTGTTAAAAAATGGTGCATAAGTGAAGAAAAATAATGGAAAATATATAAATTATTTTAATAAGACAAAAGAATTTTCAAAAATGGAAGAAAAATAAATTGAGAAATGATATATTAAGAAAAATAAAGTAAAGAAATCGCTAATTAGAAATAAAATAAGAATGAATGATAAAAATTTAAGAAAAATTAACAATAAAAAAAATTTAATACAATTTTCCTTTTTTGATTGACACTTTTCCTTTTTTGATTGAACCTTTTCCTTTTTTGTTTGTCACTTTTACTTTTTTGGTCGGACTTTTCCCTGAACCTTTGGGACTTTTCCTTTTTTGAATGAGAAACCTTGTATCTATAAATTTTATTGATTTAGAATACATCTGAATTCAATTCTTTAAGAATACATCTGACATTTTTTTATAAAACAAAATACATTTCAGCATGAATCTCACATACACTCAATTGTAAACTTTAATTCAGTAAAATTAAATTTAACACCCATGCCAAAAAGAAGCCTGTATGGGCATTTTTCACTAACCTTTACTGCCCATATGCGTTTAAACATAGAGATAGTTTCTATGTGCCTACAGGTAACTGCATCCTGCCCAAAAATTGGTGGAAGATTCTTCTCATTCTAAATTAACCCCATATATCTCTTTTTACTCAGTTTGGGTGTGAGAAGTATCAAGCCCAGCTGTTATTTTCAAAAACACAAAAGGGCAAAGTGTTTAAAGAATGAATATTGATAATCAGATTTCATACCTTATTTAACACATCTTGTACAAATTATATTTTATTAAGATGAATTTTATTTCTTATTTTAAACTATCATTCAAATTATTATTTTATAAAATATGTAAATGCTTTAAATTTCATATCAAATTTTCGTTAAAATTGTAGTTGCAAATTAAAGTTATAATTTAATATAATATAATATAAATTTAAAAATTAAAAAAGATTATGATTTTAAATGAATATAAAATTATTATAAATATTTTTAATAATTTTATGTTTTATATAAAATTGGTAGCGCGCTACTTCTACTTTCTAAATTAGTAGCGCTACTTCTACTTTCTAAATTAGTAGCGAGCTACCGTTATCGCTATTAAAAAAATATAGCGCGCTTTAGTCGCGAGATACCAGATAAATCCTAACAGTCGAAAAAATTTGATAAGCCTTGAGCATGAGTATATTTTACCAAGATTTAGGTATGTCTTAAGTTTAAACCTCAATCAAGGCTAAGATTGTCGCTTAAAAATTGGGTTGCCTTTTTAGAGTTGACTCAAAACCTGTTTAAAGTGGAACTATTTATCACCACTTGGGTGGAACCTACTCTATACTTTAAATACACAAATTTCAATAAATATATTGTTAAATTAAACTTTTTGCTTCCCTATCTTATATGTGGCTATAAAATATATGAAAAGATTTTTTGACTATAAAATAATTTTTATTCAAATTTAACACTTTAAAATAATTTTTTGGCTAGGGCATAACCCCCTATTAAAATTTGGAAAGGAATTGAAATTAAAAAAATTGGGGGGGGGGGATAAGCCTCCTGCTGATATTATTATTGCATAACAAGTTAGATATATTTTTATTATTTATGCTTCGTATTTACATATAATTTAAATCTATATCGGATTTGTGTTATTTATACTTTGCTGCGTATATTTTTAATGGAAAAATATTTAGGCTCTGTGTACATTATGGGAATTCATTATTATTAAGTATATGTATCTTTAATATGGGTTTTTTGTAACCCGTATCTGTCCACTCGTTTTACAATTAACTAGTATTTGAGAATTAATTTACAATTGATATTAATTTTACATTGAGAAGGTCATTGTAAAAAAATATTACACTCATATTAGATATAATTATAGAGTGGCAATTTTTATAATCGTTTTTTTTTGCAAATTTTGTGAGAAAATGATGAAACCTAAATCCTTATCATTATTGGTTACTTTTTCATAAGACTGGATTTTAAAAACCGGGAAGAGCATTTGGAACGGCCTTGGCCAGATGAAAACAAAATCCTAATCAGGTCGAATCTAAAAAATATCGCCATTGAAGACCTTAAAACAGCATATCACATTAATTGTTATAATTGCAAATATTTTTAATAAAATATCATTTAATATATGCCTTTTAATTAAATTTTCAAAGCGAATAATCTTTCTATCGGAGTAGAATAGAATTATATTTAAAAAAATTAAGATTATTTATCATATCATATGTCATTATTAAAATTTCATAGAATTTTCAAAACTAAAATAATGGTCTTTTTCAACATAAGAGAATGGAATATTTGCCTCGTCCATTATCTCATTATTTTGAGTTAAGAGGGCTTCATTTAAAAGCACATGTTGCACATATTTTTTCTCATTACATGCTACCCATCAATTTTAAAATAAGGCCCTAAAACCTTTCAATTAAAATTGTAAAATGGCATGAGTATGTGGACGTTGTTAGTTTTAGATTGTCTACTAAGAATAACTTATAAACTTAATAGCATTTTTAAAAAACTCAGCAAAAGTGGAAGCATATTCTTCTAGTTCAATATCATTATCTTCTTCAAAAATATTTATATCTTTTTCACTTTCATAAATACTTATTTTAAAATAAAAAATGGGAATAAACGGATAAGTTAATTTTTTTCGCTAAATCGGACAAATTTAATATTTAAATAAATTGTTGATTTAACTTTTAAAAAGTATTTGTACTCGTCTAATATTGTAATTAAAACAAAATACTTTTTATTTTTTTAGTAATTAAAAAATAAATACTTTCGAAATAATTTAAATAAATACTAAATACAAGAATTCGCATTGTAACAAACCTGCTTGGACATATCGTCGTCTGAGAATTAGGTTATTCTTTATCCACTATTTGTCAAAAATGAGTTCTTTTTACATAAATTAATTTTTTATGATTATACAAAAATTTTTTAAATATATATAAAATAAGTTAAATTATAGCCAGTATAGGGTTATATAAACAATAGAAACTTAATTTTTTTTATTGCTTTCCTTGTAAAATTTCAAAAAGTGGAGATGGAATAATCTAATTCTCAGGTGACGATATATATAACATTAATGACTAAATTCGCGACTAATTTAGTCGAGCTAGGAGGCATTAAAAAAAAGAATTAGTTTATTTATTTTATAATATACAATTTTAAGATCTTTAAAAAAGCATTTATACAAGGAAATAATTGAAGTTATAAAAACTAAAAAGTTATAATCACTGATGTTGCCAACAATTATACATTCAAGGGAAGAATAAATTAGGAATAATACACTATACATGCGTTATAGTAAAAGAGTTTCGATTTCATTCATGGGTATTCAAATCATCGATAAGTCATAAAGGAATCTTTGACCGGTGCCGAAGCAATATTTTGGTTCCCAAAAGTGGGTTGTTGCATTTGTGGGCTACCGAACCCGGATATTGCTCCAAAGCCAAAAGTATTGGTAGAGAGTGGAGACTGAGAAGAAGAAAAGAAAAAGCTTTGGGCGCCGACGTTGAAACCAGAGTCAGAAGGACCGGAAGCGAGCTGTGCTAGGGCTGCAAAGCCTGTACCAACCTCATTTGAATTTGAGCTAAAGTCAGGAGATCCAAAGATGGTCGAAGGTGTAGATGATCCGAATATGTGCTGCGGAGGCGAAACGGAGCCAAAGGCGTAAGAAGATAAGGAAGGTTTAAAACTAGTAAATGTTCCAAGACTAGATTCGCTGCTTGGGCCATTGAAAGCATCTGGATTTAACACCGACCCAATAGGGCTCAGAGAATTAAGACCGGATCCAAAAGTGGCTCCACCACCGAATATAGGCGCTGACTGATTAAACAGGTTAGAAAACATGGGAGGTTGAGTTTTAGTGACTGCTAAAGTTAGAGTAGCACTATTAGTTAAGTAATTAGTCGTCACACTTAAAAAAGAGGCGGGGAAAAGTGATGGACGGGAAAACCCTGGAGCGGCACCGAAAATAGAATTAATGGTATCATTAAAAGTGAATGGGTTGGCAGCTGAGAGCTCAGTTAAACCCAAAGTGGGTAATTTGGGCTGTTCATCCTTTGCCGTCGTAATAGGAGTGCAGCTCATATCTAGAGGCGACTGGCTAGATTCGGTGGAGGACTTGTGAGGAGGATGGCTTAATGTCAGTGGTAATTCGGTTTCTTGCATATGAAACAAATATTTTGATTGATCATCTGAATTATTGCTTATATTTTCGGTGTTAAGAGACAAATTAAATAGTAATCTTGGTTCGCATTTGGAGGTATTTTCGATTTTTTTAGTAGTATTTGTAATTGCAGTCGTTTGTGAATTTGTAAATGTGAAAGGTTGGGTTAGAGAGGAAAGAGTAGGAATGATGAGCTCGTTTGAACCTTTCACCTTAAGACTTTCATCAATGGTGTTAGTTAATTTTGGGGGGAATACTAGTTCCTTGGTCGCAGATATTATAGAAGATAAATTAGATTGGTCCTCAATATTAAATAAATTAGAGACATCATGAGATTGTTGGATGAGTGGAGCTGTATCAGGGCTAAATTTTTTAAGTGTAAATTTTTCCAATGGAGCAATATAAGACTCGGAAGGGGATGGGGCTATAGATGCACATTTGACAACTAAAATTTCCTCTTGTGGTTTAAAAAACAGAGATGGATCACTTAATGCAGGTTGCAAAAAAGAAGAGACTGATAATTTATTGTCGTTAAGTATCTTGTCTCCACTTTTGACTAATTCACTATTTTTTCCTTGTTCTTCTTTAAGGATCATTGATTGTATATTTGATATAGTGGAACCAGCCATTACCTTGGCCCATTGAGTCCCATATTTACTATTTTCCTTTTTGGCCTTCTTTAATGACCTAAATACAACCTGTGATTTGTAGGAATTTGAGGATTTTATGTCTGCTGATTCAGTAAAAACACGCCCTAAAATTTTGTCCATACAGCTAAGACCTAATGGCTGGAGATGCTGGGTGAAATGAGGTTTAGCAGATGGTCGTACAGATTTAATCTGAAATAAAAATGGGGAAGTTGAGATCAACTGTTCCAAAATTTCCAACGCTAAAGAGGCATTTCGTATAAGTCTGTCGTGGTTTAAGAGGCATTTATAAGTTGCAGATTGCTGAGATATTTTGAGGCGACACATAAGTTCGTTATTTTCAAAATCAGTCTCTCTGAGTTTCATTGTTATTTTGTTACGTATTTGTACAGCTTTGTCCAGTATAGCAGCATATCGTTGTTCTAAATTTGAAATGTAGGACTTTGCCAAATTTATGCATTGGCAATCAGATTTAGTGTAAAAAACATTAGCAGTATCAGACTGGTTTTTAACTTTCTCAGCTTTAGCTACCGTCTCAAAAACTTTCCCTAACTCCTCTAGTTGGGCAAGCAAGTCTAGCAGTCTACATCTGCCATATTCATCAATATGTTGATTAAATTTCTTTATCTCAAAATTGAATTCCATCAATATGTGCCTCCATTCAGCTTCCCAGACATTATTGTTTCCTAAATATTCTTTCATTCCTAGTGTTGAAAATCTTATAATAGTGCCATCTACATTGTTTAATTTGTTTGAGGATATAGACTCTAATTTTTCTTTCAAGGTGTTAAGCTGATCATGTAATTGGCATTTTTCTATTTGTAGTTCTGCAGGTGATGAAGAATCATTATGGTGATAAATAGCAGACTTAAAATTATTAATGGCATGGTCATGAGGCTGATCTGTCAATGGTTGAATTATGTTTTTAGATTTGTGAGATATCAAATCAAATGTTGTATCATGTAAAGTCTCAGAAGGTGGGGACAAAGATAAAGAAAACAATTCCTCATTAAGATTGCTTTTGATATCCGGTTTATCTTGATTACCATGAGAAGGTTCAGAAATATTTTTTAGCATGATATCTTGTGGAGTAGATTGCTTTATATTATAATTATCTAGCAACTTACCATCTTCAAAAAAAATATCTTTCCTGAAGTCTAATGTTGTCAAGTCTTGTAAAGATTTGTGGTCATCTAGCTTGGGTATGTTGTTTTTTAGGATTTCCTGAGGAATATTGATACTAGTTAATCCTTCCCATATGGCTACAATACTAAAAGGGACTAAGTAGCCAGCGTCAGTCATTACAAAAAGGATAGGACCAGGAGGGTAACTAATAGAATGAGGAAACAAAATATCACAATGGATGGTGAGGGCTAAAGCAATACCTGTGGCATATACATCCACATTATGGGAACCACCAATGTCACACACAGGCAGGACAGCATTGAAGATATCTTCCACTTCTAATAAAGTTAGTCCTTCACATTGTACATCTTTGATAAAGGTCAATATTGTGTTATCAGTGTTAGAAACAGCTAATATCATGTCATTCCATGATGGAATTCTTATAAACCATAATAATCTTTGAAATTTGATGTTAGTTTCAGATTTTGTGTCAAAAAATGGATCTTGATACAATTTTATTTGATCTTGGGAAAGATTGTTTTTACTGATTTGAATATTGGCAAAAATATATTCTTTATTATCACTTGTTGATTCTTTTTGGTAGCAAGATAATATATTGTATGTTGAGAGCCATAATAATTTGATAGCGGAAAGGTTTGGAGAAGGTGATGTTATGAATCTAATAACTTGAAAATTTAGTCCACAATTTTCTTTAACCAATTTCATTTGAAGGATAGATCCATCCTTAGACCCAACAATAAACTGTTTACCTTTAGGACTCCAGCAAATAGATGTGCAATTATTAGAATTGTTGCAAGTAAAATTTTCTACTATATGGTTAGACTTATTTTCAAATACTATAATATTATTGTATATCAAATTCCCATCTGATGTCACAAATATCAAATAAAATGGATCTACAGGATTCCATAAGAGGTCTAATAAATAAATATTATTACCTTGAATGTCAAATTTTTTAATGGCTTTAATGATCTGGTATACAGTATTATTTTGGTTAAGGAATTTGCAACATATTTCTTTGAGATCATAATAAAGTATGTGCAAATTAATAGAAGTTTGAATTTTTCGGATAACACTAATAGCCAAAATTGTATTATTGCTATTGATCGTTATGTGAACAGCTTCAGTAGTAGATTCTGGAATAATATCAAAACTTAGATCAATAAGAATGTGCAATGAATTCGAAATTTTTAATTCTTCTTTGGGAATACCAGGTTGCATGAGGACTAAATCATTTGTCTCATAAACTATTAATTCATTCAAATTTATTATAAATGTGCAACCATATGTATCGGAGATTGCTAATGATTGAATTATATTGAATTGTGAGACATTTGGTTTAACGATCTTTGATATAGGGAGGTGCTTAAATTTAAGATTTTCTGTATATTCTGACGGATAACTATCCATATTTTATTATATTATTATGATAAACATTTTGTAATATGATAAGACATCAATCAAATTAACGCTAATAATTTTTTAAAATATTAATGTAAAAGCTTTAGAGAGAGATCTACAAAACCTACAGGCTGGTATCGGCTCAATCATATTTTTTTCGTAAATGATCTTCCGTAAAGTACTAAAAGTCAGGCCCCGTTCGTCAAATTAAAATTTTAGGGAAAAAAAGGCCGAGAAAGTTAATGTAAAATCAAATAAGTATTAACTAAAATATTGAATGAAAAGTAAATTGGCATTAATAAATCCATTATATCTCATTTTAACCCTTATACATATTTTTTAAAGCACCATAAGTGTGAATTGTTATATAATAGTTAAAAATCTTGATATTTCTAAAATTATGAATAGTCAAATTGGATACGCCTATGACTCAAAAAAACTTGTTTTTATAATCGTAGTATCAGTGGTGTCACTAAGAAGGGGTGCGCAGGGGCTCGAGCCCCCGGAAAATTTTGAATAGCCCCTGTTTTTTTTAATGGCTCCTTAATATCCCTTTGAACTAAGAATAAATGTTTTTGATTGCCCCCTAACCGATTTCTTTTATAATTTTATTAAGTAATATATAGATTTAATTTAATTTTTTAAAAATTAATAAAACTATCTCAATTTTTATTAAATGAAAACTTAGATTAGATTAATACATATAAAATAAATTATATTTTCACTATGTCTTCCAATCAAATTCTGTATTAAAAATAGAATTTCAATATGACTCACTAAATATTAATTTAGCAATAACAGTTGAAGCTTATTTAACTTATACTATTTAAATTATTATATAACCCTAATTAAATCTATATTATAATTTTCCGATGTCCTCACTACGTCATCGTGACGTCATGTCATCGCTACGTATTATTTTTTATATTTTTTATTTGTTGATTTTATTTATTTATTTTATACAAACAGATGAACCTACCAACAGTCTTAATTTATTTTTAAATAGATTATATTTTTTATTATTTTTAGCGATTATTACTTTTAGCGATTTATCACATTTGATTTTGCAAAAATAGATAGATATTTATAAATAATACTGCTTGGATGATGGTTCAACAAGTTAATCATTTTCCTTGAATTCCTGAAATAGGAGTGCCATTAATTTAAAAAAATTCTCTAAATAAGTGCACTTTAGGATTTTCATGTGAAACAGGCTGAAGGCTACAGATCATACAAGTATTTTGTAAATCTTCAGGCAACTAATCCTTATAACTTATTCACTTATATCTGTTTATTTTCTGAAGTTTAAATATTTAAATAAGAATATTAAATTAAGTTAATTATACTAAATGTTTTATCTACTTTATAAATTTAGAATAATAATCTTTAATTAGGTTAAAGTGTTGTGTAAATTTAATCAAGAAAGTGTTAATTAAAAAATAGGAAATTTGAATGCATGTTGATCTTATGTGGTTCAAAAACATCATGACCAATGTAAACTGGGTTACTCTTTAACTCTTACTTTCACCAAGTATCATTAAATATCACAAAATTTCAAGCAACTACTTGATATAAATTGCCTTATTCAATCAAATTCCCCTGTTTTGAAAATTTTAAATATTTGAATAAGTCTATTAAATTGTGTTAAACTCAGAGTTGTACATTTGCTCAAAATAAAAAGATCTTCAAAGATCTAGATCTTTGAAGATCGTAAAATTTGAAGATCTTTTATTTTTTAAAAATTTTGTGTAACGATCTTCAAAGATCTTCATGATATTTATTTTTTTACCCTTTTATTAAAAGCCCAGATGTTTTTCAATTTTATTAATATAATATTTCTTTTATGTTTTATACCTCTCCTCCTGCCTTGATGAAATTTGAAAAACATCTGGGCTTTTAATAAAGGGGTAAAAAAATAAATATCATGAAGATTTTTGAAGATCGTTCGTTACACAAAATTTTTAAAAAATAAAAGATCTTCAAATTTTACGATCTTCAAAGATCTTGCTCAAACAAAAATCTTCAAAGAAGATCTTTTGTACAACTCTGGTTAAACTAGACTGAATGTCTCATCTATCTCATAAATTAGATTATGAATTATTAAAATTAAGCCAAACTGTTGTGTAACTAAAATTTATAATGATACAATCTAGGATGCTGTATGGTTTAATTAACACAATGGATTCATTTTAATATAACGGCTACATAGACTTTTATACTACCTGAGGAGTTTAAATAATAAATGTTGCTTTGCTCAACCTTATCTTCCAATATAATCTCCGGAGGAAATGAATAACGAGTGCACTCTTATCTTAAAATAGTATATTCTAAACTTAATAAGGAAATACTTATCTAGGTTAAAATATTATGAAAAATTTTTATAAAATTATTATGAGTTGGACTGGGCTTGGAAAATATTTTTATAAATTATATTGGGCTGAGCTTGGGGAAAATTATGAGCTTGGACTTTTGATAATTTTTTTATTATTAACTATGGGTCAGACATTGGCCTAAAACAAGTTATTTTTCAGGCCTGGACTCGACCTGATCAAAAAACCAAGGCCCATGAAAATCTGATTTTTATTGTATCATTATGATTATTTAAATGTTTTATTTCAGTTCTCAGCTACCAAAATTATTATGATCTTTCATTCAGCTTGGATAAATTTTTCAAAATTATTGACTTTGTACTTTACCTGGGAATTATTTTTAATATTAAATATTATGTATAAATGATCAGTAAATTTGACATATTGGTATTATCAAGTAAAAGCTTTAAATTTATTCTTACTCAAACCATAGTATTTTGTCTTAGTTTTAATGGATTGAACCTGGCCTGAAGGGGGGAGGGGGTAAAAAGAATAAAATTGGATATAATTTCAAATAACAGGTAACATCTAGCATAAATATAAGAAGAAAATTCTCATTCCTCGTCATTTTTGACGGGCTATCTACCAGTGGCGTCACTAGGGGGGGGGGGGCGCAGAGGCTCAAGCCCCCTAAAAAATTTGAATAGCCCCCTGAAGCAAAAAAAAATTTTTTTTTAATGGTTCCTTAATATCCCCTTAAACTAAAAAGAACTTTTTTTGATTGTCCCCTGTTTATTATAATTCTATTAAGTAATATATAGATTTAATTTTATTATTTAAAAATTATTAAGACTATCTAAATTTTATTAAATTAGATTAATACATATAAATTATATTTTCACTATGTCAGCTTGCAATCAAATTCTTTGTTAAAAATAAAATATCAATACCATGCATAATGTTTAAATATCAATTTAGCATTAACAGTTGAAGTTTAATTGATTTTTATTAATTAAATTATTATATAACCCTAATTAAACAAATATAAAGGTTCCCGTTCTAAATCGCTAAAGTAATAATCGCTAAAAATTAAAATACCACTAAAAAAATAAAAATTAAAGACAACAAATAGTTATATAAAATACTTAATACAAATATAAATCTAAGGGTGAGAATATAATATATTTTAATATATATAATTGATAATAATATTATTAAACATGTGTTTTACAAATTTAATAATTGTTTTAAATAGCATTAAAAAATTTTATCAATAGTTAAAATACTTAATACAAATATATATCTTAAGGGAGAAATTATAATAAATTTTAGTATATAATTACAAATTATATTATTAACAAGGCGTTTTACAAAAATATTTTAAATGGCAATAAAAGATTTTATCAATAGTTATATTCAATACTTAATAACAAATATATATTTTAAGGGGGATATTATAATAAATTTTAATATATATATATAATAATATTAAGTATGCGTTTTATAAATTTTTAATTATTTTAAAAAGCATTAAAAAATTTTATCAATAGTTAAAATACTTAATACAAATATATATCTTAAGGGAGAAATTATAATAAATTTTAGTATATAATTACAAATTATATTATTAACAAGGCGTTTTACAAAAATATTTTAAATGGCAATAAAAGATTTTATCAATAGTTATATTCAATACTTAATAACAAATATATATTTTAAGGGGGATATTATAATAAATTTTAATATATATATATAATATTATTAAGTATGCGTTTTATAAATTTTTAATTATTTTAAAAAGCATTAAAAAATTTTATCAATAGTTAAAATACTTAATACGAATATATATCTTAAGGGAGAAATTATAATAAATTTTAGTATATAATTACAAATTATATTATTAACAAGGCGTTTTACAAAAATATTTTAAATGGCAATAAAAGATTTTATCAATAGTTATATTCAATACTTAATAACAAATATATATTTTAAGGGGGATATTATAATAAATTTTAATATATATATATAATATTATTAAGTATGCGTTCTTTTTATTATTATTTTTACCTATTTAATTTATTGATACTCTTTTCAAAGAATTTATAAAGGATAACTTAAATTAATCTATCTCTACTACCATCTATCGATATTTTGTGAATATAAAGAATTTATTTTTTAGATAATAAATTCAATTAAAACTCCCATTATTTACAATGAATTAATTATTATGGCATTATGAGCTTGCTGAAATATCTAAACCTTAAATTACATTTAAAAGGATAGTTTATTTGGAAAACAATGTGTATGATTGTTTGCAATATATAGATTTGGTCGATGAATTGTATTATAATAATTCCATAATAAAAGTATTAATTTTTACAGCAATAAATTTTGTCTTATTTCATCTCAAGATTTAATAGATAACCCCAAAATATTTTTATCCTACCCCCATTAAGGCAGCCTACCACCCACCCCTTCAAAAAATAGGATGCAAACTGTTCCTACCTCTCCCGCTCATGTAGACGCTGTATATAGATTTATGATAGATATCTACATCCAGTGAAAATCTTGTCATGTAAACAAAAAAAAAATAAAGTATCATTTCAAACACCAAGTATATTGGTCTTTTTTATCAATTTTATATTAAATTTTTTATTAACAATATATCTACAACTATTTTAAATTTAATAATATATATTTAATATGATTTTATTAAATCAGACACTTTATCAATAAAAAAAAATAAATTAGAAGTAATATCATATAATGCTGTTAAGTTTACAATTTTTTTATTAATTATCACATATTTTTTATTTTTCTCCGTAACTATTTCCCCGTTATTGATTTGTATAACTTTAAGTTCTGTCAGGCGTTGGTTATCTTTTAAAACGCGAATTAATGAATATATGTCCGGATGAGCATTTTTTGCCATTCGCTTGAGGGAATGGTGATATCCTTCAAGATGATTATTACTGCGAGGACCTTGAATCTTATACCTAACACCAAACAATGTATTAAATGTTAAAAATATTATAAACTTTTATATAAATTGTGAGGAATTAATAAAAATGAAATAATTACCTGGTCCAAATTTGATGGAAAGATTGCATCAGGATTTATCTAGGTAGTATCCATATATATTAAGAAACTTAATATTAACGGGTCATTGGCTGCTAGATCTACACAAGAATCACGGACCACTTGAATGTCCTCTCTCTTGCATAAAGGTAATACACTCATCCTTCGAACAATAGTGTATACAGCAGTCTCTTCTTTATACTGCTTGACTAAACCTAAATGCTGAACTTTACGCCAAATGGCCTGCGTAAAGTGGAAGAAGCAGCCTAAAAATAAATTATACAACTATATATAATTTAAACTTTACCCTTTACTAAAATATTGGGAAATACAAATTGTAGAGCAGATATCGCTCCTGCTTCATAGTCGGTTTGTGCCATTTCTGGTGAAAACTGGATACCATTCAATGTCCCATATTCCACGATTATTTGAAATAGCTCAATATAGGACTCCTTCCTTTTATCTGGAAGAAGTGCATATATGATAGGGATCATTGTTTGATTATACATGATATGTATAGTATATAATTGGCTAAAAAAACGTGGACATGTGTAAAAAGTCCCATCCATATAAATAAATTTTGTATAGGAAGATAAACTGACTAACATGACAGACCCAAATACAATAAGTTTGTTATTATTATTTTTTATTAAGAAGCTATCACCACTGAATGTTGTTATCAATTCAGTGGTCAATACAATTGTGTCATTGCTAATGGGAATATTTGGCCTGGTTTGTTTTAAAATACGGTTAATCGTATTTTTAACGGAAATAAAAGGTGGTAAGGCTCCTGGATAATTGATTATATCTGGATCTTCAGAGCATTGTTGGTTTAATGCCTTTAGATATATATTCATCCTTGTATCTAAAGGATTTTGTTGTACCGTTGCTTTTACTGTTTGCAAAGTTTTTAATTTGTGAAAAAGTATAGCATGATTTTGATGTTCATGCATTTTGGATATTGTGTATCCCTGAATATATTTACACGTCACTTTACAATCAGCTTTTAGACAACGGTAGTAAATTGTATTCCTGTATGTACCGTTATAACGGTAAAGAAAATTTTGAAAAAAGAGCAATGATTTGCCCTTTTGGCTATCGATAAATGTTGGTTCCTCTAAAATATAAGAAAATTTTTAGATGTTTATATAGAAATTTACCAAAAATATGTATATTTTCATTAAAATCTATTAGAGATTCTGCAAATCCATAATTATCCATATTTTCTAAAAAATAATTGCCTATATATATAGTGATATATATATTTTCATTAAGAATTATTACTTTCTATTTCTGAATTAAGAGGAGATGTATAGAAATCATTTGATATGTTGGGAGCATCTATATTTTATAGATTAAATTGATTTGTTATAAAAATGTTACTTTGAAAATCAGGAATATATGAGGAGATATATGAGCAAAGAGGGGATGTGTAAGCTGAATGACTTTGAGTATAACCTATTTTAAAATTTGTGTTTAGATAATGGTTATATAATATGTTGTAACTAAAATTATAATATTTATTTAAGATTATTTATAATTTTTAACTTGGATTTGAGAGGGTCAAGGATTCTCCATGAGATTGAGAAGATATTTGAGATACATCTATTTAATTTATAATTAATTAATATGATTTATAATTTTTAACTTGGATTTGAGAGGGTCAAGGATTCTCCATGAGATTGAGAAGATATTTGAGATACATCTATATGATTTTGAGTTTATTGTTTTATAATTATGTAATAAAATATTTTTACCTTGAAAATTTGATCTCAGTTGTTCTAAGATAATGTTTGATGATAAAGGTGAAACATCTAAAATATAATAATATATAATTACAATTAAGTTTTACTTTGAATTGGTTTACAAGTGTCTAAATGACATTTAGTTATACTAAAGTCACAATTAATGGTGAGTTTTGCTCTCCCACCACATCTTTTGCGACAATAGTAATATATTGCACTTTTACCAGATTTGTGCTGTAAATACTGATATCCCAAATATTCTATGTAGTCTTTATTTTTTATTGTTTTCTAAAAAAAAATTTAAATGTAAATAAAATTTTCATATCTATAAATTATACATACTTTAATATCTAATTTCCTAAGCTTAAGTAAATTAATTAAATAGATGTATCTCAAATATCTTCTCAATCTCATGGATAATCCTTGATCCTCTCAAATCCAAGTTAAAAATTATAAATCATATTAATTAACTATAAATTAAATAGATGTATCTCAAATATCTTCTCAATCTCATGGAGAATCCTTGACCCTCTCAAATCCAAGTTAAAAATTATAAATCATATTAATTAACTATAAATTAAATAGATGTATCTCAAATATCTTCTCAATCTCATGGAGAATCCTTGACCCTCTCAAATCCAAGTTAAAAATTATAAATCATATTAATTAACTATAAATTAAATAGATGTATCTCAAATATCTTCTCAATCTCATGGAGAATCCTTGACCCTCTCAAATCCAAGTTAAAAATTATAAATCATATTAATTAACTATAAATTAAATAGATGTATCTCAAATATCTTCTCAATCTCATGGAGAATCCTTGACCCTCTCAAATCCAAGTTAAAAATTATAAATCATATTAATTAACTATAAATATAATAGATGTATCTCAAATATCTTCTCAATCTCATGGAGAATCCTTGACCCTCTCAAATCCAAGTTAAAAATTATAAATCATATTAATTAATTATAAATTAAATAGATGTATCTCAAATATCTTCTCAATCTCATGGAGAATCCTTGACCCTCTCAAATCCAAGTTAAAAATTATAAATCATATTAATTAACTATAAATTAAATAGATGTATCTCAAATATCTTCTCAATCTCATGGAGAATCCTTGACCCTCTCAAATCCAAGTTAAAAATTATAAATCATATTAATTAACTATAAATTAAATAGATGTATCTCAAATATCTTCTCAATCTCATGGAGAATCCTTGACCCTCTCAAATCCAAGTTAAAAATTATAAATCATATTAATTAACTATAAATTAAATAGATGTATCTCAAATATCTTCTCAATCTCATGGAGAATCCTTGACCCTCTCAAATCCAAGTTAAAAATTATAAATCATATTAATTAACTATAAATTAAATAGATGTATCTCAAATATCTTCTCAATCTCATGGAGAATCCTTGACCCTCTCAAATCCAAGTTAAAAATTATAAATCATATTAATTAACTATAAATTAAATAGATGTATCTCAAATATCTTCTCAATCTCATGGAGAATCCTTGACCCTCTCAAATCCAAGTTAAAAATTATAAATCATATTAATTAATTATAAATTAAATAGATGTATCTCAAATATCTTCTCAATCTCATGGAGAATCCTTGACCCTCTCAAATCCAAGTTAAAAATTATAAATCATATTAATTAACTATAAATTAAATAGATGTATCTCAAATATCTTCTCAATCTCATGGAGAATCCTTGACCCTCTCAAATCCAAGTTAAAAATTATAAATCATATTAATTAATTATAAATTAAATAGATGTATCTCAAATATCTTCTCAATCTCATGGAGAATCCTTGACCCTCTCAAATCCAAGTTAAAAATTATAAATCATATTAATTAACTATAAATTAAATAGATGTATCTCAAATATCTTCTCAATCTCATGGAGAATCCTTGACCCTCTCAAATCCAAGTTAAAAATTATAAATCATATGAATTAACTATAAATTAAATAGATGTATCTCAAATATCTTCTTAATCTCATGGAGAATCCTTGACCCTCTCAAATCCAAGTTAAAAATTATAAATCATATTAAATAACTATAAATTAAATAGATGTATCTCAAATTAATATATAATTACAATTAAGTTTTACTTTGAATTGGTTTACAAGTAAAAAAATTTAAATGTAAATAAAATTTTCATATCTATAAATTATACATACTTTAATATCTAATTTCCGAAGCTTAAGTAAATTATTTATGTTTTCTGCTACGGTTTGAATCTTCATTTTTTAAATAAAACACTAGTAGCCATATTTGGGATTTTCACTGGTAACAAAATTTAAAATTTTCATATCTATAAATTATACATACTTTAATATCTAATTTCCTAAGCTTAAGTAAATTATTTATGTTTTCTGCTACGGTTTGAATCTTCATTTTTTAAATAAAACACTAGTAGCCATCTTTGGGATTTTCACTGGTAACAAAATTGGGAACATCCCATTTTTTAGCGATTTTTCGTTTAGCGATTTAGAACCGATCCCAATATAAAGATTTATTAATTGAAAATTAACAAATTTAATATTGTAAGCCGAGTTTAAAATCTGCGATTTAAAAATTTAAGCATTAAAGACTTTATGAAAAAAACTAAAGATAAAAGTAGCAATAATCTTGAGGACCAAAGAAGAGGATTCAATAATAAAGCTGGTGATGAACAAAGTATATTTTATACAGTTTTTTAGTTGAAAGACGATTAATTGTAGTTTTAAAAGATATAAATATTGAAAACAAAAATGTTAAAAGAAAGAAAATATATATATAAGTCTGTGTCCAAAATGTTTTGAAAAAATCCTTAAAATTTTCACAAATTAATAACAAAACACTTTGGACATTTAAGTTTTAAAAAATAAAAATTTATTAGTTAATTATCTATTTTAATGGAAGGTTTCTTTTTCACTTGATCATAATTGAAGTTATATGTTTTTCCTATTTCCTTCCAAATTTGCCTAATTTCTATAGAATTTCTATTTAAGTCATTTTTCACCAGAGTATTAAACAATATTGATTTCTTTAGTTTTCAAGTTAAGCAAAAATTGCTTTACAATATATTTTCACCTTTCAGGAGCAGGACACTAGAAATGGAAATTTTTTTAAATTTTTCTATTATAATCACATAAAGTGATGTCAAAATATTAGCTAAATAAAACATAGTAAATATTTTTTATATAAATAGTCAATATCTTAAAAAATCATACACTATTATTCTTTTTACATTAATAAAGATAATATTGGCTAAATTGTTTACTCAATCATTCTTTCATATTGATAATTATATTTTATTTGTTTATCCTAACTTAATAAAAAACTATATTTTAATAAAAATGCTAAATAAATTTAGAATAGTTTGCTTATTTATATATATTTTTGAAAAATGGACACTATAATATGGAATATTACTTTTTATATATTATATTTACAAAAATAAATACACTGAAAAGAAATACATTTTAAAATTAATCTTATTTAGATTCATTGAATAATGAAGAAAGTATTGTGAATGACATGATTGTAAATAATGTAAGTACAGAAGGAAAGAAAATAGGTAAAAAATTAATTTATATATAAGATATTTTATTTATAAAATAATAGAAGCACTATGTGTGGCTCAATCTGAAGATATATGTGAGATCCAATGTACAGATATCTCTGAATGTATTAATTTTTTAAATATAATTAAATTAAATATAAAATTTTATATAGACATAGAATCTGAAGAGGATACTACAACAAGCCAGATTATTGGTAGCAGTAAATATAAAGGTATATTGGATAAAGAAGTTTTATTGTAACAAATTACATTTGATGAAATACATTTTAAAATTAATCTTATTTAGATTTATTAAATAATGAAGAAAGTATTATGAATGACATGATTATAAATAATGTAGATACAGAAGGAAAGAAAATAAGTAAATTAATTTGTTTATAAGATATTTTATATTTATTTATAAAATAATAGAAGCTATACGTTTGGCCCAATCTAAAAATAACAACTATTCAAGTATTTTTTTCATTTTAACAATATTTTTCTTCAAATATATAATATTTGTCATAATTTTCATAAAAGCAATAATATTTTAATTTTTATATTAATATTTGTCACTTTTTTAGAAGAGCTTATACAAGTATTATTTTTATTTTAACAATGTTTTTCTTCAAATATATAATATTTGTCATAATTTTCTAAAACCAATAATATTTTAATTCATTTATTAATTTTTATCACTTTTTTCAGAAGAATTAGATCTGGGTACTAAAACAACTGGTCCTATGCAACCTATATTAGGTGCCTATCCATATATTGGAATGGGTAAAGATAAACGATGCTTTCAAACTCAGTGGTACAAATCCTTTCCCTGGATTGAATATAGGATAACCAGAAACTCTATTTTTTGTTTTCCTTGTAGTAATTTTCCCACTCAACCTCAAAAAGGATACCTTTTTAATCAAGGTTATCAAAAATTTCGTAAGGTAAAAGAATACTTAACAACTCACGGAGCAACAAATGGTCATGCAACGAATGTAATTCTCTGGAACCATTTTAAACAATCTTTGATAGAAG